TATGAGTTTGCAACTAATTAAGCATACACCCAAATTACACTTGAGCAATAATAAACAAGAAACACACTTGTATTTACGAAGAATTTGACAATTTATTACTAATAACTCTTTTGATGTTGAAATGATCTTGCAATTGACTTACTTGTTGTTCTCCATTTGAATCTTGGTCCCTTTTATGTCTTATAACATCAATCTAGCCGTTTGGAGTCGTTGGGGATTGAACGGAGCAGTTGGATTCATTAATTTTTGGCATTTAATGCTCACCTGCACATTTGGTATTGAGACCGAGCCTTCCAATGGTCAAATTTGTAGTCGTTAACCCTTCAGTATCGATACTGCTTGAATCAGTATCGATACCCATCCTTCGGTCTCGAGACTGGGGCCTTGGTATCGAGACCAAAAAGCATTCTGGCATTTTGGTATCGAGACTGAATGTATGGTCTCGAGACTGGCTGTTGATTTGGAAAAAAATAAGTGTTTTGAGCTTTAAAGATAATGTTTATAAAAAGCGAATTAACTCAAAAACACTTGGGATTACACTTAAAAATACTTTAAATTGTTTATGACAATATATATATAAATATTATGAAATTGCAAATTTTAACAATTTAAAATATTATAATAATTGTGTTATATGAAAATCAAATTTTAGTTGAACAATTATTTTCTTTTCAATCTTATTTTTTATATTTATAATTGATGATCCTATGTTTTTCAATCCCACTTTGTACATTTATAATTGAGCTCGTGATTTTTTTAATCTCATTTTTTACTTTTATAGTTGAGGCTCATAATTTTTTCAATCCCATTTTTTACTTATATAATTTAGGCCACTGATTTTTTTAATCTCACTTTTTACCTTAATAATTGAGGTCCCTAATTTTTTCAATCATACTTTTTTACTTTTATAGTTTAAGCCCCTAATTTAATCATTTTTACACGATTTATTAATGTAATATTAAATTAATTATTCAAGGTATTAGAATATACTTTCGTTTTATAAGGGTCTATATTTTAGTGCCACTCAGGGCCTCAAAAATATTTGACACAACTATGTATTTATTCGATAGTTTATTAAAAGTAATAAAAAAAATAATTTACAAACAAATTTATTTATTTTTCTTGCTCTTACAATTTGATTTTTTCGATACTTATTATTGGAGGCTTAATTTTTATATTAGCCCCAGGCCACTTAAATCTCAAAAACGGGTATGTATGTACTTGCACTATGCAAAACCATTAAGTTTCACACCAATTTATAGCCATTATATTTAAATAAATAAATGGCTTAGATTTAATAAAATTAATAACCCATAAATAAATATTTTGTCAACTCACAATAGAAATAATATTTTTTTAGAGTTAAAGTTCAAGATTTAGTGTTTAAAAGTTGAAGTTTAGAGTTTAGTATTTAGGATTATGGTAAAAAGAGATATTTGTTTTACTATGAGTTAAAAGATATTCATTTATGAGTTATAAATTTATTTATTTAAATGTAATGGTTATAAGTTAGTGTAAAATTAATTAATTTTACACAGTATAAACGGATCTTGACCCATATATATAAAAATATATATATGGGTTAGAATCCACTTACACAATATAAATCTCTTTAGTTTTACACAGATTGAAAACTGATGGATGAGTGAAAATAGATGGTTGAGATTGATTCCTTATTTTTTTCACAGTAAATATCTTTACATTTCCTACTTTTAATCTCAACCACCTATTTTTACTCATCCAACGGTCTTAAATCTATATAAAAATAAAATTATTTTACATTATGTAAAATGATATTGCCTCTATAAGGATTGGATCTTGTTATACAATGTAAAATTCTCATAGTTTTATACAGATTTAGGACCGTTGGATGAGTGTATATATTTGGTTGAAATTAACAGTAGAAAATAAAAAGATATTCACTAAAAAAACAAGGAGTCAATCTCAATTATCTATTTTCGGGAGTTGTATTAGGTTGGTTTGTTTGGGTAGCAGAAGAAATGAAGCTTGGGCCAACCAGACAAAGCTGATACCGAGCCCAAGTACAAGACACAAAAAGCACTGCTTGTAACATTCTAATTCCGATTTTGTTCACAAAGCAATCATTATTCTTTTTAATTATAAAAATTATTCAATGCATTCATCGTGTAAGGGGGAAATTCAAAAGTATTACTGCATTCGTGTGGCCGACATTCGTGTACGACCACAACCACAACCACGACCCGAGATGAGACGGCGGCGGCAGCGGCGCGCGAGAGTCCCCCTTGTTCTCTTTCACTCAACAAGGAAATGGGAAATCCAAGCCTTAAATACACTTCCATATAGTGTTTCCAATACTATGTGGGATTGAGCATTACTCAACACTTCAAAGAAAATATAGCAATTTTTGTAACATGTTTCCCACTTAATCCACATATCTAAAACATTTTATCATTTTATCAAGAGAATTAAAAGAGTTGTAGATATCTACATTTCAATTCAAACTTATACATATAGTTTTAATATGATAAAATATTTTAATATTTTTAGATATGGATTAAGTAGGAAACATGCTACAAAAATTACTATATTTTCTTTGAAGTGTTGAGTAATGCTCAATCCCACATAGTATTGGAAACACTATTGGGAAGTGTATTTAAGGCTTGGATTTCCCATTTCCTTGTTGAGTGAAAGAGAACAAGGGGGACTCTCGCGCGCCGCCGCCGCCGTCGTCTCGTCTCGGGTCGTGGTCGTGGTCGTGGTAATGGTAATGGTCGTGGTCGTGGTCGTGGTAATGGTCGTGGTCGTGGTCGTGGTAATGGTAATGGTAATACGTGTCTTCGACACGTCCGCGCGGATATTATCTTTTTAGAGAAAATTCTTAAGAAACAAAATCTTTTTTTTTTAATTTACTATCGCAACGCGAAATGGAAAATCGCAACGACACTGTAGACTATCGCAACGACACTGTAGACTATCGCAACGCGATTGCGATTTTGTTGGTCATTTTGGAAAATTTTGCCAAATCCAAAAAAATTGGTTAAAATCGTATATTATAAGGTATTTTTGGTCACTGAGGCGATTTTCTCTTTTTTTAATTATGTATTTCTGCCCGGAATTATTTTTTATTGACAAAAGAGTTTATTAAATCTCAGAGGATACATTATACAATGAAATATTTTCAAATATAATATCTTTTCCACATTTTAAATTATTTTTTATGGTAAATTACACATTAAGTATCTAAATTATTAATTTTGATCCATTTTAGTACTTAAACTTTCAATTTTTTAAAAATTATACCTAAAGTTTAGTTTTTGTTTTATTTTAGTATCACCGTTCAAAATTTAATGTTACGTGTTGATTTTTTTTTAAATAAAAACTGATTGTTTAGGTACTAAACGTGTTAAGTTTTTAATGGCAATGTATTAAAATGAGATAAAAACTAAACATTAGGTATGATTTTGAAAAACTTAAAAGTTTAAGTACTTATATATATCAAAATTGATAATTTAAATACTAAATGTGTAATTTATCCATGGTGTTCTGTTTTTCAATTGACTGCGTTTATAAATAACTGCCGCATATTAAATTATATTCAAATATTATGTTTATGACGTACCAATTTCTTTTACTAGTTAAAAAATCGTTATTATTCTTAAAAGTTAAGAATTCGAGCACTAATAATTATAGTAAGATAATTAAATATTCGTTATCATATGACTGAGGGTATTTAAAAAAAATTACTTTATAAACATTAGCTTAATAAAAAAAAATATTATGTCTATTACTGGTATTATATTTAAAACGGTGGTCCATAGCATTATTGGCGACATGTTTTGACATTTCAACGAATTTACTCGTTTTGATTTTTTAAAACATTATTAATATATATTAAATTTAAATTTAAATATTAAACAAATTCACACTCTAAATATATAATAAGCGTAATTTAAACGCATGAAAATAAACTAATGTAATGTGTAATAGATAATGGATATCTATTAAACAATAATGAGGCAAAGTCAATCCTCATATATGCACGAAAATGGAAAAATAAGAAATTATTTTATTTTAATTTTTTAATAATTTCATGTGATTATAAGGTAATAATTGTTTAGAATGTTTCTTAGTTATTAACAACGCATACACAGGGACAGGGTCAGTATTAAATATTGATAGGGGCCTAAATATTAGACTATTTAAGAAAAATATAAAGACTTATTAGGTATTTAAAACTCAAAATTCAGCATGAACAAAGTGAACTTAGTGATTAAGGGATTGTTGTTATTATTGATGTTCCGAGTTTGAGCATTGTGTATGTAGGGGTATGAACATTCATTATCAAATAGTTGAAAGTCTTTGTACAGAAACTACATTGTCTTCACCCTAAATTTATATAAAAAGAAAACTCAAAATTCACAAGACAACTACTTAATTTGTCTAATATTTAAACTTACAATGACTTAAATTATAATTAGACCAAAAATTTGAGAACACGAACTTATCATTCTTTAGTTTGGTCCCTACTTGATTAAATATTTAATATTTTTTTAAATTTAAATATTTATTTTTTGCATGAACCAAAAACTATTAAACCAAAATTATATTGAATATATAATTTTAATAGGGGTCGAGGCCCCCTTAGGCCCCAACAGGGCTCTGTCCCTGCTCATATACCCTACAAACGTAGTTGTTAGAACAAAAAATCTCTACAATAATAACATTTCTTTTATTTTTGAAATTATTTATAATTTAAAGATCGATCTATTCATCTAATCAATCTATAATATTATTTGAAATAATAATCAAAAATCTAAAATATAGAAATATAACTTATAGGGAAAAAAACCCTAGAACTCTATGTAGAAAACAAAGAACTAACACTTAAAAGTATTTCTTGAAGAAGATTAAGTAGGAAATAAAAAAAATTATTGAAAATTGAAACATTCATTTCCAATACCATAAATGTAAGAACGATCCAAAACAAAATAATGCAAAATTTATTGAAAATTGAACCCTTAGGAAACCATGTTCACTTCATCAATCAATCTCATACTCTTTGAATGTCTCAAAACATCCTTATTCTTCCCTTTCAAGCCAAGCAACTTTGACCAAAACCCTTTCTCCTTCTTCTTCCCATCCTTAACCTCTTTTTCTCCTCCTTCATCGTAGAAGTTTCCTGTTTCGAAAGCGATCGATCTACTCTTCTTTACACCGTTGGCACCGAATTTCATTGTACAACACGATGATGACGGCCATGTGATTCCCACCGGCTCCCCGGAACTAATTCGTTTATGGGAATCAGGATGTCGTCGAGATGGTGAGGTAGACATCGAAGATGAAATCGAATGGTATTCTATATCAGGAGAAAAGGATGATAAATTTTGTTTGTATAGACCGATCTCACTCAGACTCGATAATCTTTCTCTCAAACAAGAAGAGCAAACCCCTTGTTCCACATGGTGGTTCGGGTGAATCTTGCATCCGTAGCCTGATTCGGACAACCCCATAAGCACCAATTACTTTGATTTTTGGAGCAAGTTTTCAAATTGTTGATTTCTCTCTCCTTGTTATGCATCTTATTATATAGAGGCAGACAAGTTGGTGATAAACAAATTAATGTGCACTATAATCCACACGTGTGAGGGCTTTGAAGTTGCAATAATGTGCATTATAAACCTAAAAGGGTGTTTTTCAATGAGTCTCCATATGACCGTGTCAACACCTTATTTTGTAGCAACAAACATGGTGTACATACAATTAACATATTATATAAAGGCTAAAATACACAATGTTTGAATACATTTTAGTTACTCTCATTGAAGTTTTAAAAATAATAACTTAGTGATTAACGTTAACGGTTTGTCACAAAATGATCATTCTACCGTAATCCCCGTTAGACTGGTGACAATGTTAATAAAAAAGTTACTATTTAGTTTTACTCCTAAACTAGTGCTAAAACGTCAAATAAATCATTAAACACTGATCTTATATCTAACGTATCTCAAAACTTTTTGATTGATGTTGTCTAAATTATCACATGAAAGCACAAAAATGAGATGAGAAAGAAAGAAGAGGAAAACCATTTTCTTAACAAGTTTTGTTCCTTCTTTCCACAATAATCTACTAATTGTATGCTTATATGGATTAAAGAAACAAAATACAAAATCCCCGTTAAAATAAACTCCCAATCAATCAAATTTCCACCCCACCTGCGTCTAAGCATCCCTATACTTGTCTTCTTTTTCCAACACATCCGATGAATAGTTTTCCCCATATATTTAAGTTGCGGTCATTTATTAAAATAACGATCCTTATATAATGATATTGATGCTATATGAAATCGTTATTGCACGACGATAGTATCTGCAATGATTACAATAATGTCTATTATGTTTGTAATCACGATAGATACGCCGCAACTAAAAATGTATCCGTAATTTAAATCTTTAAATTTCATAATATCCATCCACGACGGCTGCTGATCATAACCTCACCATAAATATAGTAAGCTCACCACCATTATTTCCGTCGGGGCCCAACATGTAGAGGGTCTCGGAATCCTTCGACCCGACGACTCGATCGAAATACGATCGGATATACGCCAACTCCCCGTCGACCCCTTCGGTATCGGAAATCCCCGGCAATACCCCGGCCCCCATGGAAATCGGGTTGAGAAGCTCCATGACGTTCAAATCCTCCTCCGTCGCCTCACGTCGTGCAACGAGGCCAGTCTTCTTGCCGTTGCAAAACATGGTCCACAAGGGCTCGTCCAAGAGCTTGACTTATCTTTCCCGACGTTCGCTTCTCGCACTCGAGGGCGATCCTCACCATGCCGGAGCTGAGTTCCTTCTGCAACACGTTAGTCTGAATGGCCAACTCGAGGACCAACGAAGGGAGACACTTGGGGTTCTCTTGGATCGAGAGGGTGACCTTGCCTTTGCGGCACCCGAACAGGGTGCCGGTCACCAGGGTGCCGGAGTTGGCGGCGTGGGTATCCGATTGTAAACCGGTGGGGCAGATGGGGAACGTGCATGACGGAGTGAGGATGGGGAAGGAGCGGAAAACCGAACGGAAAGCTCGGATGACGCGACATTTTTCTCTCTTGCAGGATTTTAATTCGGATGGCTCGATGAGGGAGAAGGATTGTTGGGGCGGCGGCAGTGGAGAGTAAGGAGATTTGGGTGAGGAAGTGGGGTTTAATGGAATTGTGACGGATGAGCCGTCCCTGGAATCGGCGTTGCTGGTTCGAGAGTCCGCCATTAATGGACGGTGAGGAAGAACCAGGGACAGGGAAGGCCCATGGGAGGGAGGGGACAGGGATGATAGATGTGCATGTTTTACGATTTGGTAATGATATGAGGCTTAAGGTTTTCCCTAAAAATATGGTCCAACTTTAGTTCTTTTCGGTTTGCCTCTTCTATATTAGGTATTGTAAATATATATCACTAATACTAAACTATTGGCCAAAAAAGTATCATAGGTTCCTCTACTTTTGGAAGAAAAAAATATCATCCTTGTATTATTTTTCTACTTCTTAATGTGGTCTTCTAACTCATAAATAAATTTAACGTGGTCCTCTAATTCAGAAAACAAATCCAATATGATCATTTGACCAATATTTTTTCGTCGTTAATCGTTAGAGTGCTTACGTGGCAGTTCACGGTATTGACATGACTGTCTATCTGTCACGTTATCAAGTATCGTGGAATACCACGTCAACACCGTTTACTGTCACATCAACATTATAACGATAAACAACGAAAAACGTTGATTAAAAGACCACATTAGTTTATTTTATGAGTTAGAGGCCACATCGAAAGAAAAAATAATATAAGAACCACATTATATTTAAAGAAAAACGAAATCCCTTCTCTATTTTCACTTAATTTTTTAATAGTTTATTTTTATATCATCCACACACGTGTCTTTTGCTTACGTGACATTAACACGACTACATAATAAATTGAAATAAAAGAAAAATAAAGATAAAAATAAAGGAAAAACTAAATGATTGATTAATTTCATTTAAGTTTTATACATTTTTAATTAAAAAACATAATATTTGGTCACTTTTGTTTTTATTAAATTAAGATGTTGTGAGACTTTTAACGGATTATTGACATGGCATAGTGAATATATAAAATAAAAAGGGATAAATTACACAAATGATCACTAATATTTGAACATGTTTTCTTTCTTCTCGAAATTTAATTTAACGTTATCTTTTTAATGGACATTTATTTTGTTATTTAGTAATGTATCTCTACTTTATAATCTCGAGGTTTAGACACAAATTAATATAAGTTCCATATTTCAATTAGACACACAAATTAAATAAAAAAAGTTTACACGTTGATAGTAAGTTCCAATGACACATGACGTCATTTGATTTAAGGGTTAAGTTTATTTTAATTTATAAATTTTAAGACCAAATTGATTGAATATATAAGTAATAATGACCAAATGTGTAATTATACCAAATATTTTAATTGTCACATCATCTTATTTGTTAAATATGAACGCCAAGTGGCTTAATTGAGTGTATTTAAATAATTGAGTGACCTGATTGATAAAATTTCAAAAATGGTGGTCAAATTGAAAAAGGGTAATAGTTAGGTGGTCATTGGTATATTTTACTCTTTATTTTAAATAATTTATCTTTTAAATTTTTAACTTATTTATAATTATACGTTGAGCCCTTTAGAATTTTAAACTTTTATAAATTAAATTAATGATGCTCATCGATGCTCGTCAAGCGTTGTAGAATATTTCCATAAATAATACAAAAACGTAACCATGTATTTGTTATATAAATATAATTAATCAATTTTATTAAAAAGAGAGAAAATATTTAACATTACCATTAATATATAATTATAACATATTTCTATAATCACTAACACAAGGAACTAGCAACTTGAAATCATACAAGAAAAATATAAGAAAAAATGTTAAAATATATCTAAGAAACTCGAACAAAATATATATACAAATAGTTCTGATTGCATTGATAAACAAATCATAACATATGATCAAACTATTTGAATACCACCGACAATCACAAATCAAAGTCGAGCATCATGAGAAAATTAACTTTGAACGCAATCCAAATTCACTCCGAGGATCCAAAGCAAGGAATATCAACAAAACAATAAATAAACACCACCATCTTGATCATTCGTGTCGACGTCAAATCAAACTATGAGAAAAATAAACTAAAATAAGATAAAAAAAACTAAAAAATACAAAAAAGTCAGGAAAAAGTTTCATATAAAAAATGTGGCATAAATTCAGAGATTTTGAAAATTAAAAAAGAAAAGAAAAAAATAATTATATGATATAAAAAATATAAAAAAATAAACACTACACATAATCGACGATTAACACTAAAATTAATGTTATCGTACGTAAAATAATATAAAATGTGAGAGAAAATATAAGAAAGCTAAGGGTTTATTTTTTTTCTTTTAATGTAATTAGTGTATTAAATAGCATTTTATTTTAATAATTTCATGATAAAAATAAACTTATATTTTATGAATCAAACATATTCTCTATCTAATGAGAGGAACTCAAAAACGAACACACAACAAAACAAAAGCAGGCTCACAAACAGTTTAGTAGCGGAAGGCAACGGTGTCGAATTTGTCGCTATGAATGGCAGAGAATCAATGCGCCATTTTTTCTCTTTTATAAGTGCGCATCTTTCGCACTTCAAGGACCAATTTATTCTACCCGTTTAAAATTTGACGGTGGTTTGAGCTGAACGTTAACGTGTTGAATACATTTGTTGTTTTCAAGCATTGGCTCGATCAAATTTTATCATATCCAAGTCAACGTGTTAACATTCAGCTCAGGCTATCACTAATTATTTTAACAGAAAATAACAAATTTATAACATATGAAGAGTCAAGTGGTCATTTTATAACTTTTGATAGTCGAATGACTCAACAGAATAACATGTCATAGTTGAGAGACCGTTTTGTAACTTTTAATAGTCGGAAGACTTAACAAAATAATATCTTATAGTCGAGAGACCATTCGTGTATTTTTACCCTAATTTGTACTTTCAAAAACAATTTTTAATTTTAGTAATTGAATTAAATTATGAGTAAATTATATGTTTGGTGATTGAACTTTACTCTCTCTCATATTTCACTAACTGTACTTTTAATTTTTTCAATTTACTAACTGAACTTTATAGATTGATTTTTTGTCACTCTGTCGTTAAATAATTAAACGACGTTATGTAACGCAACTTACATCAAAACGACGTCGTTTTGAATTTATGAAAAAATGAATTTTAGATTAAAACGACGTTGGTTTTATTAAAATACAACCATGTCTTTAACACCGTAAATTATTTAACAGCGGGGTGACAAAAAAAAATTTATAAAGTTTAGTGAAGAAATTAAAAGTACGATAATTGAAATAAAAGAGAATAAAATTTAGTCGCCAAACATGTAGTTTACCCTTAAATTATTATCCTATTATTTGACTTCTATCC